TGGAGATACCCGAATGGAAGTGGGATAGCATTACCATGGATTTTGTTACCCATTTACCACGGACAATTCGAGGGTACGATTCGATCCGGGTGATAGTGGACAGATTGACGAAGAGTGCACATTTCCTCCCTGTAAATCCGAGGATATCTATGGCTAAACCGGCACAACTATATATTCGCGAGATTGTTCGATTACATGGGGTACCATCTAGCATTATCTCGGATAGAGATCCTAGATTTACTTCAAGATTCCGCGAGACTTTACAAGAGGCATTAGGTACCCGACTTAGGTTGAGTTCAGCCTATCACCCCTGACAGCATGGACAGTCGAGAGAGGACCATCCAAGTCACTAGAAGACTTGTTGAGGTCTTGTGTGTTGGATAATCTAGGAAGTTGGGATGAGATCCTTCCATTAATAGAGTTCACGTATAATAACAGCCTATCATGCCGGTATCGGAATGGCACCATATGAGGCTCTTTATGGGAGGAGGTGTCAAACACCTTTATGTTGGTATCGGGATGAGGAGAAAGTGTTGATTGGACCCGAGCTACTCCAGCAGACTACGGAGAAGGTCCGGGAGGTACAAGAGAAGCCGAGAGCCGCTATGAGTAAACAAAAATCATATGCGGACCGGAGGAGGAGACCTTTGGAATTTGAGGGGGAGACCATGTATTTTTGAGAATCGGACCTACTATCGGAGTAGGAAGGGCAATTAAATCTAAGAAGTTGACTCCCAAGTTTATTGGCCCATATCGATTTTGAAGAAGGTAGGTCCAAGTGGCATATCGCTTAGCATTGCCACCTCATTTGGCGAATCTGCACAATGTATTTCATGTATCTCGGTTGAGGAAATATGTACATGACCCCAGTCATGTCCTGGAGTCGAACAATGTGCAGATTAGAGACAATCTCTCCGTTGATATGAGACCGAGTGAGGATAGAGGATTCTCGACTGAAGCAACTTAGAGGTAGAACTATCTCAATGGTGAAGGTAGTATGGGATCAGAAATCCGGAGACTTCACTTGGGAGATGGAGGATCAGATGCGAGAGTCTTATCCATATCTATTTCCAAGTAAGTTCATTTTCGAGGACGAAAATTTTTGTGGAGGGGAGATTGTGACATATACTTTATTTTAATATTATATTAATATTATCGTGCAAGAAAACTTCGTAACGAAGTTTTCCTCATGCACGATAAAATTTTTCTTATATATGAATACGAAAGCGGGGAGGAGGGGAATCAAAATTTTCCTCTCATCCTTCTTCTTCTATTGTCCAAATTTCAAGCAACGAGACTCTACTCGTGCAGGATCTGGTGAAACGGGAGAGAACCTGAATTAAGTGGGAAAACTTCGGTAGAAATACCATACCAAGTAAGGGGAAGTTTAATTCATTCAATATATGAAATTGAATTGTTGGGTAATCTGTGAATAAGGAATAGGAGTAGAGATATGAATTATTTGAATGTGTGATTTTGAAGAATGTTTGAATAAGTTCTGATGATGAACTATTCACCGTTTAAAAGTTTTTGAAGTTTTTGAAATTAAGGATGAATTATATAATAAAAGTGTTGTTTTTAACTTAAATTGAACATGTCTATGGTTTAATTTTGATTTGGAACTAATTTGGGTGATTGAAACTGAGAAATTTGAAATCTGGAATTCGAAAATGGCGAACTGGAAAACCTGTAAAATTCGCTCAAGCGAAAAAGACGTCGCTTGAGCGAGGATACCTAGAAAATTTGGGATTCTCGGGTTCTTTCTCGCTCAAGCGACCGATGTACTCGCTTGAGCGACGAAGCCTTCAAAGAAAGGTCACCCTCGGGGTCAAGTCTCGCTCAAGCGACTAGTGTTCTCGCTTGAGCGACGGATGCTTCAAACAAGGGGACTCCCGGGTCAAGTCTCGCTCAAGCAACTAGTGTTCTCGCTTGAGCGACGGATGCTTCAAACAAGGGGACTCCCGGGTCAAGTCTCGCTCAAGCGACTAGTGTTCTCGCTTGAGCGACGGATGCTTCAAACAAAGGGGACTCCCGGGTCATTTCTCGCTCAAGCGACCGGTGGACTCGCTTGAGCGACTAAGCCTCAAACAAAGGAGATTCTCGGGTCATGTTTCGCTCAAGCGACTGGTGTACTCGCTTGAGCGACGAAGTCTTCAAACAAAGGGGACTCTCGGGTTCCATCTCGCTCAAGCGACTGGTGTACTCGCTTGAGCGAGAGAAGGAAGAAGAAAGGGATATGGTGGGGATTTTTTAAAAGATCAAGGGCCAAATAGTAATTTAATGATTTTGGAAATGATTTTAGGAAATATATATATATATATATATATATATATATATATATATATATATATATATATATATAAAGAGAGAGAGAATGAAAGTAGAGTGTTGTGACGTGTGTGGGTCGGATCGAGCCCGAGGGCCGATGCCCGAATCGATCCCGAGACGTTATATATTGGCTAGACCGAGCCGAAGGTTGGTACCGAATCGGTCAAATACTATTTTATTGACCTGAATGAGCCGTGAGGACAGGTGGTCCAGAATCCGAGCAAATGTGAATAAATTTTGTATGTTTGAATGGTACCCGGGTGGTACGAGTACATTAGTGTAATAACTATGTCGGAGGATTCTCGAATGAGGTCCCGCACTTCACCGATTGGTCGGGTCGGTAGACTACGAGATCGGGTGGTGAGAAGTCGATGGGGGGATGACCGGTGGCGCGCTCGGAGAGGTACTCCAGTATGAGTGATGAAGGGCGCCGGTAATCCTACTCGTGTGGAGGGTGGTTAGAATGGTACTGCGGGTACCGATCACAATGTGCCCACGATGATAGCCTCTCGAGTTCGGGCATAGTTAGGGTATACTTCCGGAAGGTGTCTTAGTGTGTTGATAATTTTGTAATTGATCATAATATATAATTATTACTTCTATATTTGTTTTATTATATCGAATGATTTAATACTTACCCCTATTTTTCCATGTGGATGGGACTGCGATGATCACTTTTATGTGGGAGCGAGATAAGGAGTTGAGAGATGGTGATGGGACTACTGGACAGCAGGGATAGTTCAGTGGGATAGCTTCGAGGGAGCTACTGTTACATGTATAATGTATAAATAAATAATGTTAATATATTTTGAAGTTCCGTTAGTGAAATGGAATTTCAATATATGTTACAAATACAGTAATATAATGTAAAATAGATATTGTTATTTACTTGTTTACTACTTTGCGAAGACATCATTATAGTAGCGATTTATAGGGTCGTTACACATAATGTATAAGAATTAAATTAGCCTTTATAATGTATCAATATTGTTTGAAAGACTTAAATTTGTTAGGCTTATGAATTTTAAAATATTTCATCCTCATAATTATCCTACTATCATCTTCATAGGCATAACAACCTTCTAAAATTAGGATCATACGTTTAAATTTGTATTACTTATATATTATAATTCATCTCAAGATCCTCTCAAGATAAATTTATCTCAAATATAATATTTATCCATTTAAATACTCTAAAGAGCTTCCATATTAATTTACATTATAAAAGAACATACATTTTTTCCAAAAGTTTTTCCATAACTAATGACGGATCTTGATTATTAATTTTAAGATATTAAATAATATATTATTAATAAATAATAAATAAATATAAAAGGATAAAAATATGAAAGAGTGAAAAAAATTATAAATATATAAATAAATATATTTAACGATCACTAAATTTATAAAAAAATTATAAATAATATGAAAATTATAAAATTTCATAATTTTATTAATAAATTATTTATTTAGATTAAAGGATGAATAGTAAAAAATGAATAAAAATAAAAATTGTTTAAATTAAAAGAAATATGAAAAATGAGAAAAACAATTATTATTATTCTATTCTTTTATTTTATTTTATTATATTTACTATTTATATATGAATTCCCGTGCTTTTAATTTTTCCTTTCTTCTTGTTTTCTTATGGAAACAAGAAATATGATTTCTTGTTTACTGTCATTCAAATTTAAATAAAAATCAATCTTTCAAATTTTCCCACATCCGTCCTTTGCATACAAAGAAAGTGTAATAGAGTCTTTCATATGCAAATATTACAATTGTGAATTTGGGAAGTAATCTATTTCCCTTCTCGAGTTCCACACTCACTACATCGTCTTGTGGAAGATTTATGATTTTTTATGCTTTTGTCTATTTTCCCATAACTTTGTCTTTATAAGATAGTCTCGTATCAAATCCATCTATACCTTCGTTAGACAATTTTAGAGATGAATCTGTCATGCGTGAGTCTCTTTTCAATTCAAATAATAAATACTTTACAAATCCTTTATATGTCCTCAAGGGATGATTTTGATCTCTCAACTTTATCTATTTTTCTTTAACTTATTTTATTCATATTTAAAATATAACTATTTAAAAATATCCTTATTTTTTTTAAATAGTCATTCTTTCCTTTTTAAACTAACAAATTCAATATTATTAAATGATATTTAATTTATTCTTATTTTTGTTTTGAATGATAGCAAAAAATTTTATATCTTTGATTTTTTTAATATTTATCCGAAATATATCGAAAAACTTTTGGATTAACTATTTTTGGAAAAATATTACGAAAGAATATAGTCCTAAAAATGTTTAACCACTTTGTTTTTAATAATATCTTTTAGACAAATGTAAAATTATATATATATATTTATATATATATATTAAACAAATATTTATCAAATTAATTTTATAATATATATATATATATATTAAACAAAATAATATTATTTGTATATTTATTTATATTATTATTATTATTATTATATAAAAGAGATGATCAAGTTTATGAACTTAACTTGAAGTAATTCCTTACAAAATTAACTAAAAATTGCAATTAAACATTTTTTTAATTCTTTTCTCGCTTTCTACAAAAATGCAGCTTATATACAAATGGGAGAAAGAAGATAATAGTGTATTTTAATGAAATTTGAAAGTGCCGAAAGATAATGGTAATTTATGGCTCTAGTTTATCGGTGTACTTTGGTTCATGGGTACGCACTGGAGGCATTCAGAGTGAGAGCAAAGCTTGTTGCAGCCCCAAGAAATTGAGTGGGACTGGGACTGGGACTGGGAGAACAAGGATCGGTTGCAAATTCCAGAGTGCGAGGTTCAGCAGAGCATGCAGTGTGGCACTGACTACCTTGCTCACCACCGCTGCTGTGATAGCTTCTGTGGCAGCGGTTGATGAGTCGGACACTCTATCCAACATACCCCAAACATTGTCCGGTGAGTGCACGTTGCCCAAAGACTGCAAGAAAACTAGAATACAGAGACCAAAGTCGAGGAATGCGGAATCATGCACAATCAAGTGTGTCACCACTTGCATCCGAGGTGGCGAAGGCTCTCCCGGGGAAGGCCCTTTTAATGTTATAAGGTACAAAAAATAAATAATAACTTCCTGGTTTCATATTTAAACATAGACATGTAATTGCCTAAATGGATGGATACCCTTGCCTTGGATTTTTTTTTTTTTTTTTTCAGACCTCTGATTGTTTTCAAGCAAGGGTTTCGAACTCGTCAATACTGGTAATCACCTCTACTCTTTGCTGTAATTTTTAACGAGTGAGAGCTTCCTGTCAAAATTATGTGTTGCCTGCTAATTTTATGTGATCGATGCTGATTCGCAGTCGCCTTTTATAGCAACTAAAATTTTTTAGGGATATATTTGAGATAACCACCCTTATATTGCTTTGTCATAAAATAATTCATTTAACAACCAAACATAATCAAAAGATAAGAATTCTAATATTGCTTTATGTAAACATGCATTTTTAATATCTATTTTATTTAACAACCAAACATAATTAAAAGATAAGAATTCTTATATTGCTTTATGTAATCATGCATTTTTAACATCCAAATAATAGTTAGTTTCACTATTGGACAGAAAGTTTTGTTATAATCTATTCATTTCTTTTATGACCTGTTATCACTTATAATATAAGTTGTGTTCATGTCTAAAAATCCACATACGTTAAATTATGCTTAGATCAAGGGTCCAATACCAACTCTCACATTTTATTTTGAATTAGAGTATTATATTCATCGATCATAACATTTTTTAGTTTGGGTCATGAAAAACACTTCCCAGATTCTTAGATAAAGGAGAAATAGAGGTGATGGTCAAAACACTCAAATTATGGGTATATTTTGGGTTTTGTTTAATTATACCATATTGACTACAATTGGTCATGTAGTGAGACTTGGGATTGGTTATTGTAGGCTGACGGGTTGAGGTTTGAGAAGAGGGAGTAGTATTTGGTGAGGTTGAGAGCTGATTGATGTGAAGTGACAGAGTCGGTTGAGGAGAGGGTGACACTGGTTGAGAGCTTGAGCTTGTATGTGTAAGAGGAAGTGTGGATTGTGTTATTTGATGTTGTGGTACATAAGTTCGTAAGTGATGGATTAAGAGTGGAGAGGTGTTTTCACTTAAGGGGTCATACTCTCTTGGAAATTGATAATATATTTTTGAGAAATGAAATTGTGTCTCATCAAAAATTACATAATGTGAAATAATTATTTTCGTGGTTGAAATATCATAATACTTGTAACCTCGATAGTTTGATGGGTAGCCTAGAAAAACACATGGGGTGGATCTAACTTGCAACTTATTGATTGTAGTGTTTGGAAATAGGAGATAGCAAGGACAACCAAATACATGAAGATAAGTAAATATTGGATTTTTGTGATAGATAATTTACATCGGGGATGATATCCTAGAACTTTGGTGAGGAGAATATTTAGTAGATAAGTGACCATTTGACGAGCATGGTCCCAAAAAGAAAGTGACACGGATAAGTGTGTTAATAAGGTACAAATAATGTTGTTAATGGATTTAATATGTTATTCAACTTTGTCATTTTGAGGAGAGGTGTGAGAGCAAGATAACCTAAATTGCATTCCACTTGGTTCACAAAAATTTGTAAACGAATCATTAGCAAATTTCTTTCTATTATCACATTGCAAATTTTAATGTTTCTTTCAAATTGGGTTTTAATCATATTTTGGAAAGATTGAAAAATGGAATAAACATGTGATTTTTTAGAAATGGAAAAAGTTCACAAAAATTTTCTAAAATCATTAAGAAATAATATGTAATATCGATGGCCAGAAGAGCTAGATATGGGTGATGTCCAAATATCACTGTGAATAATATCAAAGAAAAATTCATTAAAAGAACAAGAGGCATTAAATAGTAATTCACATATTTACCAAGAGGACCAGAAGTACAAAAATCATGACTGCCTTTATTATAATTTATGAAATTTTGACAACGAAGAGAGTTTAGAATAGTAACTCTGGGATGGCCTAAAAGATTGTGCCACAAAGTGGAAAACAAAGCTATAAATGTTGAAGGAATTTTTGGTGGAGAGATTGTCTTATAATTGGAATGGATGGGGTAGAGATCTCAAAAGCCTTTACACCTCATTAGATGGTTCCCTGTATGCAAATCCTCCACCAAAAACCCAAAAGGATCAAATTCAACAAAAATCATATTATTAGTGATAAATTTACAAACAAATATGAGATTTTTGATGAGTTTTAGTGCATGTAACACATTATTTAGGTTCAAAAGAGGGTGGGTGGGGATAGTGTAGTGCTTCCATGACCACAAATAGGAATCAAATGACCATTACGAACAATAATATTGTGATATTTGCTCGAATCAAAATAAGATGAGAGTGTATCTTGATCTACCGTCATATGAGAGGTAGCACCTATGTTCATATACCACTTCTCATTCGGTTGAACGATTGCAAAAGTATACATGGCCGCATTAATGTTTGTAGGTGTATCCCCAACATTAGATGATGTTATTGATGTGTTGTAAGCTTGTTGTGGTGATTGCGGTCACCTGTTTGGCGTGGAGGTCTAGGTTGTCACGAGGCTGCAGGATAAGGACATGGAGGTTGGGCCCATCCAGTTAAAGGATTAAGGAAGGGATGTTGATATGGTGGGAAGGCTTGATACTGCGAGTATTACGGCAGCTACTATGGTGCACCATATTTTCCAACAACTGCACCCGTCCACTGCCACGTCCACCTCTGCCATCGCTGGTGTTGTTGCCTTTGCCATCGTGGGTGTTGTTGCCTCTGCCTCGGTTGGTTTTCTTGTTGTGATCGGTAGTATAATAGTCCTAGGAATTATTGGTATTACCACTAGTGCAAAAAGGGGCTTTTACGTCAGGTATTTAGGGCTTTTTACGTCATATTTAAGACTGACGTTAAAATGGGAGACGTAAATTTACGTCGGACCCTTTAGCCCGACGTAAATTTACGTCAGTTATCAAGACCCGACGTAATTTTGCGTTGCATATACCACTAAACAGACGTAAAAACTTTCAAAAATTAAAAAAAAAACAGCAAATTTACGTCGCGTATTGGTATATGCGACGTAAATTTGCTGTTTTTTTTTTTAAATTGGGTTGATTCTGTTTTACAACTAAAACCTGCAAATATATATTACAACCAGACAGTTCAGAGGTTCAATTTTCTTTAGCTAGTAAATTAAAAATATAATATTATATAATTCAAACTACATAATAAAACAATATAATACAAACATACAAACTAAAAAATCTATTACAAATTAAAAGTTAATACAAACTAAGCTACCTAAACTATATAATACACACAATATAATATGAACAAGAACTTAAAAAATTATGTACTAGAATTGTTGAACGAAAAACCTTGCCCATTATTCTCTAATTTGTGTGATATCATATTCTGGCAATGGAGATGGATCTTGAAATACCTGAAACATTAATTTGACTCTTGTAAACATGCAACACACATAAAGTTAAATAAACTTAACTAATGCTTAAAACAATTACCTCCGTCCAAGAATCAGTTATACCCGCACAAACTATGGCTCTCATCCAATACATAACATAGTAACCACATTCAAATGAGTATGTTTGCTTATTACACTGAAATGATGAATAAAATATAATGTTATTTTCAAAATTTAAATACAAACAATAATTATGGTATTCACTTATCATAATAAGTTTCTAATCTTAGGATAAATAAACTGCAAAGTCTTTGTTCTGGGTTTTCTACTTAGAACATTAGATATAAACACGATTCTAAATGAAAAAAACCATATATTATTCAATACCTTTTCCATTTTCACTACCAAATTTCAAAAATTCATCAACTCCCTTTTCGTACTCTTCACTAATACGACGTGCATTCATCCAACTTCGATTTATATTATGTTATAAAGTTTCGTCACTCCTAGAGATTCAAAATTTATATTTAAAAATAAATTAATATACAAACAATAAAGCACGTATATGGAGTGTGTAAACCGAAAATGCACTCAAACAAAATAATGACATTCCAATAACAATCCAGTGGAGACATTCATACAATGACGTGAGATCCCCAAAAACAATCACGGATTCAATTTGAACATATATCAGGAGACATAGAACACTAACCTCGAGTAAACACGAAAACGATTTCAAACTCGAATCCAATCGGGGAGAAATGTCAAATTCGTAAAATGAGACACAATGTTGATGTTCTTCATTGCCAAAATGATCGAAAATGGTGTGGAAAGGTAGCTATCATTGTCGTTCTCATTGTCGTTCTAAAAAACCCTTGCGGCGCGAGATGCGGGAGTGGGTATGGAAGAGAATAAAAAGAACTTTTTACGTCGCACACCCTAGTACGTGACGTAAAAAGCCTCTTTTACGTCGCGTGGGGGGTACGCAACGTAAAAAGTGATACTTTTTACGTCACATGGGGGGTGCGCGACGTAAAAAGTGCTTTTTACGTCGCGCACCCCCATGTGACGTAAAAAGTATCACTTTTTACGTCACGCACCCCCATGTGACGTAAAAAGTGATATTTTTTACGTCACGCACCCCCCACGTGACGTAAAAAGTATCACTTTTTACGTCACGCACCCCCCATGTGACGTAAAAAGTGATACTTTTTACGTCGCTCACCGCCCACGTGACTTAAAAAGTTCTCTTTTACGTCGCATTGTACCAGGTGCGACGTAAAAGAGGTTTTTAACGTCACCTCCTACAATATGCGACGTAAAAGTTTCACCTCTTATTTACAAAATTGCCACCGCGTTTTATTTACGTCGAATATTTTGACATGCGACGATAATTAGGTGACGTAAAATGTCATTTTTGCACTAGTGTACTGTGATGTTATTATGATTGTGAATTGGATTCTTCATCCACGATTAAGAATGCGAAGGAACCAAATTCACGAGTTGTGCTCCTTAATCATTGTCTCTTCTAACTTCAATCGAGAACATGTTGTAACAAAACTTGGCAAGTCATCTTTTGTTTCATAACTATGACAAAACCAGCATAAGCTTTGGTTAAGCCAGCAAGCAAACGGAGCACTAGACGTTGATATAAAACAGGAGCCCCAATATTGGATAATTGCTCAGCAAGAGATTTGAGTCAGTTGCAATATGCAGAGATTGTGGAGAAATCTACTAAGTTTGTGTTCGTGAACTGAGTTTCAAGATATATTGCCCTAGTATTTTTGTTATCTTCAGATAAGTCAATTACACACTGCCAAGCTTTAGCAACCGAATCATCGGTCACAAGGATCGATATGAGAATATCCGAAGAAACAATAGCATAAATCCATTGGAGAATAGCAGCATCAAGGCGATTCCATAGAGGGAGATCAATGACCTTGGTTGTTTGGTATGCTATTATGGCAGCATCCTCCATGGGAGGGATGATATATTCAAGCACGGAATAAACTTTAGCTTAAACCTTAAATAAGGTTGTCTATGAGTGATATTAGCTAGTTTTCATGTCCAAAGTAATTAGAATTAGATGTTTCACGTTTGTGACAGTTAGGACATGGTGAAATTTGGAATTATCAGCCATTGGATGGACACCTATAAAGAAAGAGTGAAAAAAAATGTTTCAAAGAAGATGAATAGTGATGATGACTAGGTTTTTCAGAGAGGGAGGAAGATAACTTAATCTGATATCATCTAGAAAATCATCTATGATTTATCTCTTTATTGATTAGGGATATATAAAATACAAACTATAATTTAGGTTGTCAATATAATTGACAATTTATAATTTAGGCTAATTTTTAGACAATTATTACTAGAAAATATTCTCAAAATAATAATAATTTATTTTATCTAATAATATCTATTAGTTTGTTATGCTCAAACCCAAATAAAATAGGACAAAACTTGAAGAATCAAGAGTGAAATGTATTTTTATTGGTTATATTTCTATGTCAAAGGACCATAGATTTTATAAGTTGAAGATAAAGAAGGTGATCATCAATCAATATGTCAAGTTTGATGAGAATAATTTTTTTGAATTGGTAAGAAGAAAAGGTGGAGGACAAAACAATTTTCACAATTTTTGTAGGTGAGTTCAACAATTGGAAATGCGGAATTAATCTCAAATACACCAAATTCCTTATCTCCATCAAGTCCTTAAATTTCATCATCTCCGAACTCAACTCTTACAAAAAAAAATAAGGAGTTTGAGTGATATTTCTACAAAATAAAGAATTTAATGAGATAATTAAAGAAGAAACTTAAAAGAGATCATACAATAAGAAATTAATATAATTAAATAATGATAAGTCAAATAATAAAAAAATTATTAGTGTGAAATAGAAATATAAAATAAAACGTAACTTGACTAAATAAATAAAAATATGTTTTAGGAGGAGTTAAAACAACACCGGAAGAGTTAAAGAGCAATACATTAATATGGAAAATGTTGAATATGAGTTGATATAAAAGTGTTTAAATGTCTATTAAAAATATTTTAAGAATATAACATTTTAGAAATTATTTCTAAAAATATAAGTTTCTTGTAAGTATATCAATATCACCTCAAAATACCTCCAACACTATACCAGCAGGATAACGAAAAGGCAGGTCCGCAACAAATGCGGAAAAAGATTTTGTTCAATTGGCATTTTTTATGGTTTTGCTCCCAAAATTCCAGTTTCATCTACAAAGTAGAGAATGTATTTTCGTTAACAAATAATAAAGATATGAAGAGAAAATGACCACCTCATGCGAAAACAATTATGTAATAAACAACTAAAGATATTAATAAAATAATCAATATTATTAAATGGATGTTGCGTTTTCAACCTACCATTTGGATTGTGTAAATAAATTTTAAAATTTGTGATGACATGATAGAGTCATGATTATCACAGACGAAAAAATAATAGTCTGAGAGAGAATGCATACCCACTTGTAGACAAGTGCTTTCTTTCTTGGGGTCAATTGCATCACTGTCCAAATTCCATTGTTCTTACGTGCATTATTTCACTTTTAGTGGCATCTCTCACCTACTATCTTTCATTGCGTCAATGTAATTGAAATGCTCCTTTTCTTGTGAAATGGATACAACGAAAGCACGATGTGCAAGAGAAAAAATAAGTCCAAGTACCAAAAAATAAGTCCATTAATACGAATATTTGTTGCTACCGTTTTATAAAATCATGCTCTGGAGTTCCTGTATTTACAAGAAGCGGCGATTTACAACATAAAGAATTTGTACATGGCGCAAACCTATTATAGTCTAATTTTAAAAACAAAATAAGACACTGATTGTCCTTTAAGATAAGAGGAGTGATATTTTGATGCCACTGTTTAATTTAAACGTCTAATTGACAATTCATTTTATTAATAAAATAATAATAAACATAAAAAAATATTTTTTTATTATTATAGAATTAATTAAAATGGTTGTTGTTTAATTAACTTTTTTTTATAACTGTTGTCAATATATCATCTTGTTAAGATAAAACAAACTTGATTTATTAGTTTGTTATAACGAGAATTGTTAACTAAAATTTTCATTTTTAGTTTGATAATGTGAAATTGGAACTATTCATCTGCCGAATTTCTTCCCTAATCATATTTTAATGTAGTGAATCCCATTAAAAATACATCTTTCGATAAAAGATTATTATTTTTATTTTATTGTTCTTTTGTGGTTTGAGCTAAATAATATTGGTCCATTACGAAAAATTAGACATATTTTTTGACTTAAGATCTTGTGGTAAAAATAAACTTGCATATTGATCATAGGATAATTTTTTATCTTTTAAAGATATTACAAATATTGAGGAGATGACATAATATTTGTGATATTAGTATCTTCATGAACGGAAAAATATTTTACGAGATTTTTTATTTTTGACGAAAAGGTTTTTAAAATATTTTTTGTTTATTATCCTCTAAATTAATTATTTAATTCAACCTCACAGTTTATGATGTTCTTCATTACGCTGTACTCGGGAAGTAATTAAGAGACTAGAAAAGTAATTTTTAATTTGATGCACAAAAACAAAATTCTTTAAAATTGAGGACTAAGCATATTTAAGTAAAAACTAATAATATATTATATTAGTTGCTTTTAAATAGTTTAAAAGTTAGTGTCGAATAAGTTTTTTTCTATTTTAGCATAATAAAATTTTTTTTCCTTGGGTACATTCTACGACTGATTAGCATTTATTTATTTGGGCAGTTTGGTGGAATGTTCAGATATTTGCAATTTGTTGAGCGATGCTGCAGTAACAAAAGCTAGGTAGTCACTCCTTAAGTTAATGTTATTACCTTGTGTAACTTTTGTACAATGTTCAAATATCTCTAGTTTAATGGCATGGTAGACATTTAAATTATGTTTGGTTAATAGCATTCATTGATAATTAATAGTTATGAGTACTCTCTTGAGGATTAGTAATAATGTGCATTTTGGCAATCAGATTAGTAGAAAAAAAAATACAGTAGTTGAGGAAAAAAAATTGAATTTAGGATTATTTTAACCCGAAAAAAAATTGAGAGACTATGTTTTAGTCTATATAGTATAATATAATCTTTATTATATTATATATATAATTATATTAATCTTAAATTTTAAATAAATATATTATTAATTAGAAGTGTATACAAAATAATTGAAAATTTACCGAAAATGTTAATTTATATTAAAAGATTATGTTATATTTTATTAACAAGCATTGTTTGAAAGTTAGGTTGATAGTGTAACTATTTACATTGTTTTAACAAATAAAACAATGTTAAAAATATGAAATAATAAAAATTGAAATGTAAAAAATATTTCATTACAAAATTTTGATAACTAACTTTGTAATTTTTTAAAGTTATAATTATATTTCCTTTTTATTTCTATTATAAGATATTTTAGACAACATAACGTAAATAAAAAATAATTAATTTACCTAATTTTAATAATGTTTGTCTCATATTTTATATATCTATCTATCTATCTATCTATCTATATATATATATATATATATATATATATAACATAAAATCTGAGATAATTTCTAGAATTTAATACCTTTAATTTAACAATATCCATATTAATATTTATATCAAAGTAAATTTAATTATTTGGTATTGAATGAAAAAATCATAATACATTCAATTATATTAATATAATTAGATTTTTAAATAATATTATTTGTTATTTAAAATAAATGATAAGAGTCTTTATAAGATAGTTTCATTATCTATAAATGGGGTCTCACTCTCATTCTTATACACTTTATTCTTTTGTATCGTTATTGATTTATGTGGATCTCTCCATTTTTTCTCACAACTCGTCATTTTGGAGTTAATTCTTTAACATTATCTATAAAGTGATCAATACACGTTAGAGCTTCTATCACATAAATTTGTTGAGCTAATACGGTCAATTTTGTGTAAGGAACATTAGCACCTTTCTTGAGATAAGGTAAAACTTTTCTTATAAATCAGCAAGTCAATTTTTAAAATATCTGGTTCATTTAAAAAAAAATGAGAATAATAATTCATACTAAAAATGAATATGTGTTTCAAATTTTACTTTTCAAGTTGATAGGAGAATGTGATGATCTTTTACCTCTTGAAATCTTTGAAAGTTTTAAATAGACTAAATGAAATTTAATTTATCTGGAACATAATTAATTCCTTTATTATTTGGTCTCAAAGAATTTTCAATACTTTCAAAAGCATTTATGATGTTAGGAATGAGATGTAACTATCAAATTTTAAAAAGAAAGTCTTGACTCTTAAAAAGAAAGTGAAAACAACATCTATATTAATTAGAATTATAAATGATTGATTGTTAATATATATATATATATATATATATATATATATATATATATATATATATATAATAAATAAGTGCTTAGCATAGTATTAGAAAAACATAAGAAGAAATATCTCAAAATGTTCCAGTAGCCCAACATGTATATATATTTATCATGTACATAAGAAGAAACTAAAATTGTCATAAACAATAACTTGATATCATCAATGTTAACTTCATTCAAATAACATTTTGTTAACTATGCTTAGTTCTCAACTTTTATCAATCAATAATATTCTTTACTTTTTTTGCAAACAAAGCAAAATTACATACATTATTACAAATATAGAATAATCATCAAGTAAATGTTATTATCAAAAGATCACATAATTGTGACTTATACGTGAATCTGACTCACTTTCTTTTTGAAATCATCTTGTATGCTTTAAGAAGTTAATTCTACTTGGAGCAGTTTAACTTTGAGGGATTTATTGGTCTTCTTCACCTTTAATCTTATCCTCTCAACGTCCTTTCTCTTTAACTTGTCTCCTCCCATTTTAACTTGTCTCCTGTCAAGTGACGTTGGAGATGAACATTCTTCACTTTGTTAATAATTTTGAATTAAGCATATAGATAAACCTCACCTCAACCTTAATGTAACATTATAACATTAGTGGAAAAATAGCATTCTATAACGAGTTTTTATCACGATCGTAGTCCACCCATCATAGTATGTAGCGCGGTGGCAATTTTGTAATAAAATCATAAACTTTCTATGTCGGGTAAATTTTAACCGACATAGTAAGTGGAAAGTTCACTTTCTATGTCGGGTAAATTTTAACCGACATAGTAAGTGGAAAGTTCACTTTCTATGTCGGTTAAATTTTACCCGACATAGAAAGTGAACTTTCTATGTCGGGTAAGATTTAACCGACATAGAAAGTGTATTTGATGACGGGTGTTAGGGCAACCGACATAGTATCTTCTGTTTTACCCTGCTGCAACGCTCCATTTCATCACTTCACCCATAGCAGAGCTCCCAGTTCTCTCTGTCTCTTCTACGAACGTCATCGCACGTGTACGTTTCTCCCCACCCGGCTTTGCTCGTCACGCCACACTGCCAACTACGTACGTCGTGCCGCTGCTTGCTGCGTCGTTGGTGCCCGTCGCTGTATACGTTTCTCCCCACCCGGCTACGCACGTCACGCCACCTGCCACCTCTGTAGGTCTTCAAGAGGTAAGTTTTCGTGCTTGCTTTAGCCATTGTAGGTTTACAATTTTGAATCCGGTAAGTAATAATGTTGTCGAGAGAGGGAAAGATCACGGGTGGCTTTAGCTAATTTAGAGATGTATTGTAAGTAGTTTAGTCATTTGAATGTGTTTACGTAGGCATTCTTTCGTGATTTTGATTTTGAAAATTAGATTTGTATTATAATGTAGTTATTTCATTTTAAGTGAAAACTATCATCGCTTATGCTCACCCTAATGTGAGACAATACGGTTAGCCTTGATTGGAGTCGGTCATGAAATGATCCATTATAGGACGAGAACTTCCTATTGAAAGATTAAAATATCCAATCACGTGACATCGCAATTTCAGCGAGAACATGTTGGATGTTATCATCCTCAAACTATACTTATATGTTATGTTATGTGACAGAAGGTAACAATGGATCGGAGTTGGATCAATTATAGACGAACAACAAATGAATATGAGAGTGGAGTAGAACAATTCCTTGAATTTGCTAAGATGAATGTTCAGGATAATGATGGAAGATTCTATTGCCCTTGTGTTAAGCTGCTTGAATGAGCGAAGATTACCAAGCTGAAGTTATTCGGGAACATGTTCTTTGTGATGGTTTCCTAAAGAGTTACATAAAGTGGACATGGCATGGTGAATTATTAAACATGGCAAGTGTAGAAGACAAAGAAGAAGTTGATCTAGAGATGGATGATCGAGTTGGAGGAAATGATTCGTGAGCTTGGACAAGATGCCTTCCAACATACACATGTGTACGAGAAGTTGTCCAATGATGCAAAAAAGCCTTTGTATACAAATTGTACTAAGTTCACACGATTGTCAGCGGTACTAAAATTGTTCAATGTGAAGGCAAAGAATGGGTGGATCGATAAAAGTTTCACGAAATTGCTTGAGTTGTTGAGTGACATGCTCCCTAAAGGTAACACATTGCCAACCCGCAATTATGATGCTAAGAAGATATTGTGTCTAATGGGTATGGAGTACCAAAAAATTCATGCATGTCCGAATGATTGTGTGTTGTACAGGAAAGAATTTGAGAACTTTCACGAATGTCCACAATGCGGGGAATCACGATACAAGAAGAAGGATGGTGATTACGACAATGATGTAATGAAGGGTACCCAGACAAAAGTGTTATGGTATCTTCCCATTGTTCCAAGGTTGAAACGATTATTCACTAATGGAAATGATGCAAAGCTCACTAGATGGCATGTAGATAGTCGTATTAAAGATGGTCGGTTGAGGCATCCGTGAGATGGATTGCAATGGAAAAAATTGATTCCATCTTCCAGAATTTTGGTAATGATCCAAGAAACATTAGGTTTGGACTTGCTACGAGATGGAATGAATCCATATGGAAATTTAAGTAGTAAACATAGTTCATGGCCTGTGGTGTTAGTTATTTACAACTTACCTCCGTGGTTGTGTATGAAACGTAAGTACTTGATGCTATCTTTGATGATCTCGGGTCCCAGACAACCAGGAAATGACATTGATGTTTTTTTAAGCCCATTGGTTGAAAAGTTGAAGATGTTGTGGGAGGAAGGTGTTGATGTGTTTGATGGGTACACAGGTGACTTATTCAAGTTGCATGCAATGTTATTTTGTACAATTAATGACTTTTCAGCATATGGTAATTTGAGTGGCTACAACACAAAGGGACATAAAGCTTGCCCGATATGTGAAGAAGACACATGTCACTATCAACTACAACATGGAAGGAAAACAGTGTACCTTGGACACCGAAGATTTCTTCCTTCAAACCATTCATATCGTAAATTAAAAAAATCATTTAACGGGTGTCAAGAAAATGATGCAGCCCCAACACCTTTAAGTGGGGAAGAAGTATATCAACAAGCAAGTGCGATTTCGTGTGAGTTTGGAAAGACGCAAAAGAAAGTCATAGGTATATGGAAGAAAATGTCAATCCTTTTTGTTCTTCCATATTGGAGGATTCTTGATGTGAGGCATTGTATAGATGTCATGCATGTAGAGAAAAATGTGTGTGACAGTATCATCGGAACGCTCCTTAACATTCAAGGAAAAACAAAATATGGTGTCAATGCTCATTTGGACATGGTTGAAATGGGTATAAGAGAACAATTAGCTCCTCAACCTCATGGTAACCGAACATACTTGCCTCCAGCATGTCACACACTGTCTAAAAAAGAGAAAAGAAGTTTTTGTGAGTTTTTACGAGGTGTGAAGGTTCCATTTGGTTACTCTTCCAATGTGAAGAGACTTGTATTTATGAAAGATCTAAAATTGCTTGGGTTAAAATCTCATGATTGTCATATATTGATGCAACAACTTCTACCTGTGGCTATTCGAGGTATCTTACCAGAGAATGTTAGATATTCCTTAACTCGATTTTAATGCCATGGAATAGGTCTTGGTAGAGGAACTCGAGGTGCAAAAGTTGTGACAATGTGTCGAGATGAAGTACTTCAAGCGCATTTGTACATATTGAATAACAATGAAGAAGTCATCCCCTACTTAAGTGCTCATAAAGACATTGTGAAGCGAAATAATCCACGTATGCCTAAAAAGTGGGTGATCACTAACACAACAAGAGCTTTTTGAAGTGGTTTAAACAACAAGTTGAAGGTATTTACATCGTTTGTGTGTTGAGAGGAAGATTGCCTTTATCTATGGATTTGTTGACCCTGTTGCCATTCAGTCCGTTGGGAATAAAGCTGAAGAGGTGCAAACGTACTTAATAGAGACATTTCAAAATGGGGGCAAAGAAGTCTACTTAGCACCTTACTTGCATCAGTAAGTATACATCTTATAAATTAATGCACATTTATGTAAAACTGAAATTTTACTAATATTATTTCAACGTGCAGGGGTCATTGGCAGCTCATAATCATTGTTCCTCGACAATTTGTTGTGATTCTCTTGTGTTCATTACACAAGAAACCAAATGATTTGGATATTAGAAAGCACATAGACGCGTAAGTTTGGTTTTTTTAATTGTTGTATCATATGTGCACTTACTTTCTATGACCCCCGTATCTATGTCGCCGCTTTAACCGACGTAGAAAGCCCATTTTAACCGACGTAGAAAGCCCATTTTAACCGACGTAAAAAGCCTTTTGTGCAGTGGTGTAAATTGATAGTTTGAATAAGGTATAACTTGACAAATATAATTACCTAAGAAAACTTCAAGTTGTTGAAATCAGCCTAGTAATACCTACAATAAAAAGAGAATAAATAGACGATTGACTTACATAAAACTTGTTTAGCTTCAGTATCCTCAAATTCCAAACATGGGGTACTTATGTTCCTACATTGATTTATGTATCATATACGTGACATAAAATAAGAGAGTTCCCAAAATGTAACATTATTAATATATTTAGTAATAAAAATAAACTCAACTAATAATGACAATCCAATTAATCAATATAATTGTACTTTAAAATAATAGATTTATTATCTAAAGATAACTTGGTAAGATTCTTATAAATAAGACAAATATTTTCTACATATTCACTCTCACTTTTTCATTCTTACACACCTATATTTTCTCATTTATTATTTACTTCATCATTAGAGAGTTTTTAGAGGTAAACATCCCTCTCTTCTACTCATATATCTAGAATTGTCAAAATGGATAGTTCAATCTAATCTGACCCTACAAACCAAATAAAAATAATTTAATGGTTCAACTTAACTTATATTTTTAAACAGATTATAAACTTTTTGTGTAAACTAACCCTGTATTAGATTAACGGACCAATAAATCAATGTTGACCTGATTCAAAATTAACAAAAATTATTAATATGTTTATATAAAAATAATTAATTAAAAAATGATTAAATAAAAATTAAAAATATATTAAAAATAAATAAATTATATTAATGAAATTAAAAATTGGTGATGTTAATATTATCGCCTAGATGTCATCAAATAATTTGCAAGGAAAGTAATATAATACTAAGAGCTGGCCTAGGTCGTCTCCTCGAGGAGAATTGCTTTATTTTGTTTAAATCTTTATTTTAAATGTCAAAAGCTAGGAAATAAAGAGGTTTTTATAATTTTGGTATGTAGAAAGGTAAATTGAAAGTAGTAATCTAATATATTAAAAATAGTAAATGAAAGCATGTAAATGAAAGTATTAAACCTAAACTATGAAAGCAATTAAAGAAAATTGTAAATGAAAACATTTAAAGAAGCTTATAAATCTAATATATGGAAGTTGTAATGCAGAGAAGTAAAAATATTGAGTTAAATATACTTTTACAAAGCTGTAATGTTTTTTAAGAAATATTGTAAACTAAGGTTTAAAAGTAAAAGCATAATCAATATAAAAATTGAATGGAAGATTAATTAAGAACCGTGAAGATTATGGTAAGAAACTATGTTGATTATCCAACCATAAACTTGCTCTTATGATTATCATTGATTTTTATGGAGTTGTCTTACAATCACAAAAACAAATTTACAACAGTTCCAATCAATTATAATCCATATGAAATTCGTAGTCACAACTCAATTCCTAAATTAAGCAATCATTTAAACTTAGAAGTTGAATTGTGATGTAAATGATAATTCAATCAAATCAAATAACCTCAATTACATTAATTGTAATGAATTATAATAAGTTAAAATCATTAAAAACCAAATCTAAACCATAGAAATCAATTGTTGATCGATGTATAACAACAAAATGCGAATTAGAACATGATGAACAAATGCAAAACAAAAAATAACATGAAAATAGTAAAGAAAGTAGAATATAAGATGAAGTAGAAGATTAATCAGAAAGTAAAATGAATAAGTAAAGAGAAAATAAAACAAATATAATCAAGAATAACTTGAATTGATAAACTTCATAGCATCATTTATACAAGAAGCTTCATGAACAAACTTGAAAGTTAAGCATTAGTAGAGAAAACTAGAGGATTTGAAAACTTAAGAACTAATTTGTGATACAAACTTAACTTATATTTTTCAGTCTTCAAATGCTTATTTATACAACAACAAAGACATACAAAACTATTAAAGCTCATTTGCGGCCCATAATTACATAATATAACTTAAAATAACATTTTGTAGAAATGAAATTAGCTAATCAGATTATAATGTGTTCAATGAATTAACAGTTGTTACATGAATTCTAACGGAATTCTGGTCATAGGATAAAAAGTCCTAAGCGAATTTAAAAGCGCTAAACGGATTCCATTGATTTAGTTTTTATAATTTATTTAATTTATCATTCCTTCAAAAGTAAATAAATAATTAAATAAAATGTACAATTTATGCAATAATTTATATTAAAATATATTTATTTCCTTTTTAAAAAATTATATTAACTATTAATAATTAATTAAGAAAATACATTAAACATATATAAATTATATTAATAAAATTATTGATAAAATGTATTCATCAATAACCTAAACCTATATTAGGTCAACGGATTAATGAACTAATTTTAACCGGATTGAAAATTAACAAAAAAATTATTAATATGTTTATATAAAAATATTTAATTAAAAAAAGATTAATAAAAATTAAAAATATATTAAAAAAATAAATTATATGAATAAAATTAATTTTTATTTTAAATATAATTATTTAATATATAAATTATAGGAGAAAAGATTTATTTCGTCCCAAAATAAGAGTTAAAATTTTATTTATTATTATCATCATTTAATTATTTTTTTAGTGATTTATTAATCTAAAATAATAATTCATCTTAATTGTTAGATAGTTGAATAAGTAAATATTAGATATTTTTTATATTTATTTTTTATAATAAGTAAATCTTTTATTAAATTAACTTATAATACATATATATTTTATAATAAAATAATATTATTTTTATTTAAAAATTATTATTATTTTATAAAACGAATCATTATATAAATCTACCGTAATAATCCAGTCTAAATCCATGATATAAATGCGTCCAAGTAAAATAATCTTAATTTAATTTAAATCACATTGTGAACTTATATTTCAAACATTTTTTTTAAATTATCCCATCAAATTAAATCTATTTTAATATATATATATATATATATATATATATATATATATATATTTTAATGTCGATTACTCCATCTTATCTACAACTTTACCAATATATATATATATATATATATATTAAAATTTCTATCACGTAAATTTATTAAATTAGAGTACGTTAATTTTTGGTAAGAATAAATTGTATTTTTAATTATTATCTACGGTTATTTCGTTGTTGATATTTTTAAGGAACATATAAAAAAAATTCAGAATTCTACAGGGAATATTAAATTGAGATTGAAATAATACGGTTTTAAAAGTCATATTTTCTAGGTACCGCGCTAATTGAACCTTTAAAAGTTTCAGTTATTAATATGTTGTTTTATATATTTGTGCTATTGAACTCATGAACGATTACTCGAAGAAAACAAAATGATCTGGGAAAGCCACTCACTGAATTCTAGGCGCTGACATCTCAATAAATTTTGATGAGGATTGATTTTGCGCGGTTCGTTTAAAATTAGATAAATGCATTGTAATCTAATAATGGAAAATTCAATTGCAATCTAAGCAACTAACACGGTTTGGCATCTTAAATTACATAGGCTGAAAAGAAAGAAAAAAGGGAACCAAATCAGAGGACCTCCTTAGACCTCTCGCCCAAACAGCTCAACTTGTAAGCACACCCAAAATGAAGCTGTCATGAGACGCAAAAAATTTAGCACGTTGCTGGCATATTCCTTGTCATTTGTTCTGGATCTGTTCTTACCGGCCCTCTTTGTTAGTTCTAACAGCTCCATCGCCATTGGCCTTTGGCCGCTAATGATCAGAGATGGTGCTGTATGATAATAAAAATTATGAATAATATTATTAACTAATTAATAATAATAATAATAATAATAATAATAATAATAATATAATAATAATAATAATAATAATAATAATAATAATAATAATAATGATAATAATAGCTGTGAAGAGAACAGAATGGCATATAGTTGAATCGTATAATCAGGCTGTGTGTTGCGGGTCTCTGGCCCTGTTATTGCTATTGTCATTATCATTGTGATTGTAATTGTGATAATGGGGGCGCGCTCTGCTTCGGTGGTGCGCGCACCATCCATGAATGAGAAGTTGGGGTTGACCTTGGCTAAGGGTAACGCAGCTGTTTTGGTATTGGCATCGATATTAATATCATCATGCTGGTGCGCATCAGCGAAAGCGATGTATTCAGATGCGGAGGCGCTGGCGGAGTTCAAGAACTCGTTGACACATACGGTGGCCCTGAGCAGTTGGGACCCAACCATAAACCCAAAGCCACCTTGCTCTGGCAACATTTCCAACTGGGTAGGCCTGTTTTGTTTGAAGGGCAATGTTTGGGGTTTGCGCCTCGAGAACATGGGCCTAACAGGCAACATCGACGTAATGTCTCTGGCTTCAATCCCCGGTCTCCGCTCGGTTAGCTTAATGAACAACACCTTTGTGGGTCCTTTGCCTAGCGTCAGGATGTTGCCAAATCTCAAGGCCCTCTTCCTGTCCTACAATCATTTCTCAGGAACCATACCCGACGATGAATTTAAGGATTTGCGTAAATTGAAGAAACTTTATTTGTCTAACAATGAGTTCACAGGTCAAATTCCTTCCTCTATTGCCACCTTGCCTAGTCTCCTCATCCTCAGGCTCGACTCAAACAAGTTTCAAGGACAAATCCCTCAATTTCAAAACACTGATAATACTTTGAAGGTGCTCGACTTTTCTAACAATGACTTGGAGGGTCCCATTCCGGCCAAGCTAATCGCCTTCGGCACCTCCTCATTTAGCGGTACCTCAATGTTTGTCATTGATTCTACATGCATCATACATATTCATTCATTGCAGTTTGCAATATGGAATTACTGAATCAATCACTATATCAATATTGTAGGAAACCCAGGACTATGCGGGGCGCCCTTGACGAATGAGTGCCAGGAGGCAGCCACACCATCCAAAATGCGTCTTCTAAAAATTTTACTCGGTGTGGTCACGAGTGCATTGATAATAGTCATTCTGGTTGCATTGTTGGTCATATGTCAGTTGAGGTCGCAAACGTCCCAACTGCAACACAAACAACCTGCAGCAGGTCATCAGGCCTCAACGTTGCAGGGCCAGGGCCAAGCCTCCAACAAATGTGTTCCTCCCATTATTGTCAAAACTAAAAGCCTAGCGGATCACGACAATGGTAGTGCCGGGCAGGTGTCATCAGATCATGGTCATGGACATGCACAAGCACATTCCAGGAGGGGGGAACAAGGCAAACTGACATTCCTCAGGCATGACCAACCCAGGTTTGATTTGCAGGATTTGCTTAAGGCCTCCGCTGAAATTTTGGGAAGTGCAGGATTTGGATCCTCCTACAAGGCCGTCATTTTAGACGGTTACGCCTTGGCTGTCAAGAGGTACAAGCAAATGAACAATGTCCCGAGAGACGAGTTCCACGAGCACATGAGAAGACTAGGCAATCTTAACCATCCCAATCTCCTCCCTTTCCTCGCCTATTATTATAGAAAGGAAGAAAAGCTTCTACTCTCTGCCTTTGTTCTCAACGGTTGCTTGGCCAGTCACCTTCACGGTAATTACTTATTAGTTTGTTTAATTCCATTTCCACACCTGTGTCACTTTTCAGACTGGGTACGTGTAGAAACAATATTAATGTGATTACTACTACTACTACTGCTGCTACTACTACTACTGATAATAATAAACATAATAATAACAATTTTGCACGCATACAGGCAATCATAACCATCAAAAGCCGGGACTTAATTGGCCAACTCGCTTGAAAATCGTGAAAGGTGTAGCTAGGGGTTTAGCTTACCTGTATAGTGCACTCCCAAGCGTGATTGTGCCTCATGGCCATCTCAAATCTTCCAACGTGCTTTTGGATGAATCCTTCGAGCCCCTGCTCACCGATTATGCCCTCAGTCCCGTCATCAACCTTGACCATGCCCAACAAATCATCATGCCTTACAAATCTCCCGAGTATGCTCAACTTGGACGCATTACAAAGAAGACTGATGTGTGGAGTTTTGGAATTCTGATACTGGAGATCTTGACCGGAAAATTCCCTGCGAACTATCTCACACTTAGGCATAATACTGATTCTGACATAGCCAGTTGGGTAAATACCATGATTACTGAGAAACGCACCAGTGACTTGTTTGACGCAGAGATGGGAGGAATCGGAAATTGTAAATCTGAATTACTCAAACTCCTGAAGATTGGCTTGAGTTGTTGTGAGGAGAACGTGGAAAGAAGGCTTGATATCAAGGAAGCTCTTCAGCTAATCGAAGACTTGAAAGAGACTGAAAATGATGCTATTATTGGAGAATACTCCTCCACTCTCATCACCGACAAAAATGCTTATAGAGCTCTGTGATTGTCACTCACTTTTTTTTTCCCGCTGCTTCACTTCGACTTTATTTGGTGCATGAGGATGAACATATGCTGTTGATTAATCTTAAACTCTTTTTAATTAATTAATTACCCTCTTGTTTTTCTTATTAACATAACTTAGGCATTTATAGTTATTTCTCTAACTACACCATCTTGTATTGTTACTTTGTTAATATACAAATAGTTAGGATTAGGTAACCTCTTTCACAATTTCAAAATTTCTGAATAAAGCATTGTCTTACAATTTTTAATCTCTAGTGCTAGTCATTGTGCAATATTACATGCACATATTAAAAATATATATTAATTGCTAAGAAGTATATCTTTTTAAGGTTAAAAGGAACAGGTACTACAAATATGTCAACATTCTCTATAACATATATAGGTTCTCTCTTCATTATTTTATATTTATTCAAAATTTGTTATCCATATATTTTTTTTAATAATTACTTTTTTTAATATTATTTATACTAGAGTGTTTATGAAAAAATAATCATACAAATATACAAAAGTATATATATATATATATATATATATATATATATATATATATATATATATAAGATATCTTTAAAGTAAAATTTAATTTAAGAATATAATATTAGTAGTGTTATAAATTTAATCATATTTATTTAAATAATTTTTTTTCTTTAATTATTACTCATTCTCAAGTTGAGATAAAATATTCATTGACTCTATCCTTAAAAAAAAGTTATAAAATTTATTATTTTATGATATGAAGTCATGAACCCTTTCATATAAACTATTTATTTAATTAAGAATTATTTTAAAATATCAAATCTACAACATCAAGTCTTATTAACAAAGATTCATCCAAATCATATATATATATATATATATATATATATATATATATATATATATATATATATATATATATATATATATATATTACAAATAAGTTTATAGAGATCACAAACTTATAAAAGGAGTTCTTTTCATCATTTTATTGACTATTTCTCAAACGTTTCAAGAGTTTCGAAGTGGTATATTTAAACCTTTCATGCAAAAATATTTGTTTCAACCCAAGGATATAATGTTTCATCATTTATCCTTTCATACTCCCTCGCTGCAATTTTTCCTTGGAAAAAACAAGTATTGAATTTGAATAGGAAGATTAGCAAATACCAATCACACAAAAAGAATAATGAAGAATGTTGAGAACTCTAAAGGTCATATAAGTAATGAGGGAATAAAATCAGGTATATGAAAGGGATAAAAGAGGGGAAGAAAACCAAAACATTTAGACAAGTAGTTTGATATATCTAAACAAGTAGAGAGAATCCAAGAGAACTTAAGTGAATAAACTTAATGCTTGGTTTGTGTATGATCAAGGAAATAGATAAAAAGAATAAGTTGGTCGCAAGTGTGTTGAATGAACATGTAAAAGAAAAATGTTTAGAGTATTAAGATCACACTAGCGAAGCGTGCTGAGAATGTAAGGATAGACTCAACGTTTCAATCAGGTGTTGCCACATGACCCACCTCCCGCCAAAAAGAATCGTTCTTATACTCCTATGTTTTAGACTGATATGATTCACTTTCATAAATGTAGTGTTTTTAGGAAGATGTAATGCATGTCCTTATCAAATAAGCCTCAACGTATTTAATTTGAAATTGAGAAACTATATAACGTCAAAATATAGTTTGTGGATATATAATTATTGGATATTTTCGATGAGGATTAATAATTGGGAGATTTATAACAAATGAGACTAAGTCAATTATACAAGAAAATATAATATCATATTCAATTCAAGATCTTATGTCATTAAATTATGAGTTTTTCTCACTTATAAGTTATTTAACCTTATCTTTTTTAATCAATGAAGGATTTCAACTCACTTGAATTTCCAATGATTTTTCCCTCAAGTATGATTCCCTTCCACATTGGATCACCACACTTCCCCTCGAGTGGAAACATTTATTAATTCTGAGTACCTAATAATATGTGAGAATAGAAGTCCTACATCAGGAAAATCTTACTTTGGTGCTTACTTTTCTTACTATAAAAGGAGCACAATGTTTACCTTGTAAAACATACCAAAATCACTTCATTTTCTTTCTCTTGCTACTTTAGTACTTGCGATATAAATTAAGAGAGAAAAATATTTTCTCATTTTAGGTTATCTTAGAGTTATTTTTCTTTTATTTTCAAAAGAGGGTATCCTCCTTGGAGGTAGAGAGAGAAGAGTTGTAAATTAGTGGAATTACTCTTTTGCTTATTATCGGTGTTTTTCTCATCTTTTTATTTTAGTTTTGGGTGTTTAGGCTTTTGTCTGATACTTAGCAGTGGTATCAGAACCACTAGGTTGTGATATTGGTTTTAGTAATTAGAATAGTGTTGGAGAAAATTTTTAGTATGTTCTATGATTGCGGTTAATCTAATCTTTTACATCAGAAAAGAGTTATTTTTGTTACTGGATATTATTTGGTAGTGTGATAGTGCATGTCTAGGAAAAGTTCTAACAAGAAAAAACTTGGTATTTAAGTTTGTCCATTAGAGACCCACCTCTCTTTCCTGAGAACTTACCTAGTATATTGGTTCACAATCTACTGTTGTTGTTCTAATAGGCAATATTATTCATAGTGAGGATTGCATAAGTCAATTTGGAATCATGACAACAAAATATGAGATAGAGAAGTTCAATGAGAGTAATTTCTCAATGTGGAAATTGAAGATAAAGACAATTTTTAGGAAGAACAATTATATTGATACAATTGCAGAAAGAACCGTGGAACACACGGATGAACGATGATGGAAAAAAATAAACAACAATGCAATTGCGAATTTGCACTTATCAATGACAGATTCAGTTTTATCCAGTGTTGCAGAGAAAACTATTACGAAGGAGATTTAGGATACCCTCATTAAACTATATGAGGTGAAGTCACTTCACACAATAATATTCTTGAAGAGAAAACTCTATACTCTCCAGATGAGTGAGTCCACATCAGTGACGGACTACATCAACCATTTGAATACCTTGTTTACCCAACTATCAGCGAAAGATTTCAACATAGTTGAAAATGAACGTGTAGAGCTTCTACTACCTGATTCGTATGATCAACTCATCATCAATATTACAAATAATAATATTGGTGGGAATATGCACTTTAAGGATGTCACCGGAGCTATTCTTGAAGAAGAATCCAGGCGGATGAGTTAAGGTAAAAATTCCAAACAAGCAGAGGCTTTGACGATGATGAGAGGAAGATCAACGAAACGTAACTCTAGTAATGATAGATCGAGGTCTCAAAGTAATAAAATTTTTAAAATCAAATGCTACTTTTGTAGTAAAAAAGAGCATACGAGAAAAGAGTGTTGGAAGAGGAAGAATGGAGGAAAAAACTTTGAATGATCATCCTCATAAAGTTGTGTTATAAGTATCTCGAAAGATGGAGATATTCTGGTGAGCGAAACAATAATTAGTTCTAATGGTGAAAAGGAGTTTCATGATAAGTGGATAGTGGATTTAGATGCAACATGACACATGACTCCGCACCGAGATTGATTTAACACTTATAAACTATTTTCAGGTGGATCCGTCTTCATGGGAAACAACCATACATTGGAGATTACTGGAGTTGGTACCGTCAAAATTAAAATGTATGATGGTACTATTCACATAATTCAAGGGATACAACATGTGAAGGACTTGAAAAAGAATCTATTGTTCATTGGGCAATTAGATGATCTCGGATGTAAGATCCATGTTGAAGGTGAAATCTTAAAGGTGGTGAAGGGGAGTTTGGTTGTCATGAAGGTAAAGAAGATCATGGAAAATTTGTATGTACTGCTTGGAGATACATTGCAAGAAGCGGATGCATCAGTTGCGTATTGTCTTCTAAAGCTAGACCATCTTAGCATTCACAATATGTGATGGAAAGTCATGATGCGTATTGTCTTCTAAATGAAGAAGGAGAACCTTCAACTTTTCAAGAGGCTATGAGTTGTTCAGATGCTTCTCTGTGGATGACTGCAATGCAGGAAGAAATTGAGGTTCTTCATAAAAATAAAACATAGAATCTTGTGGAACTTCCGAAAGGTCAAAAAATCATTGGTTGCAAATGGGTCTATAAGATCAATAGAAATGACAATGATCAAGTAGAAAGATATCATGTTAGATTGGTGGTAAAGGGATATGCTCAGAAAAAAAGGTATTGACTTCAATAAGATATTCTCGCCGGTTGTCAGACTGACGTCCATCAGAGTTGTCTTGGCTATGTGTGTTGCATTTGATTTACATCTTAAACAATTATATGTAAAGACTATTTTTCTTCATGGAGATCTTGAAGAGAAAATTTATGCTCCAACCAGAAGGCTTTAAAGAACAAGAAAACTTGATTTGCAGGTTGACCAAATCACTATACGCTCTAAAGCAGGCGCCCAAATGTTGGTATAAGAGATTTAATTCCTTCATTATTTGTCTTGGTTACAATAGACTGAGCTTTGACCATTGTACATATTACAATAGGTTTGGTGATTATGATTTTGATATCTTGTTGTTGTATGTGGATGACATGTCGATAGTAGGCATCAATATAGATCGAATCCAAGAGTTAAAGGCACAATTGACTAGGGAGTTTGACATGAAAGACTTGGGACCAGCAAACAAGATTTTAGGGATGCAAATTCACAGAGACAGAAAAGATAGGAAGGTTTGACTTTCACAGAAGAATTACTTACTGAAAATTTTGCGGCGCTTCAACTAGCAATATTATAAGCTAATTTTCACCTCACTTTCTATCAATTGTAAGTTATCCTCAAGTATGAGTCTCAGCAATGAAGCAGAGATGATGGAAATGTCTCGAGTACCGTATGCATCAATAGTGGGAAGTCATGTATGTCATGATTTGTACAAGATCAGACATTGCATAAGTAGTGGGAGTAGTTAGTAGATTCATGGAAAATCCTGGTGGAGAGCATTGGAGTGCTATAAAGAGGATCCTTAGATACATCAAAGGAACCTCAAGTATTGCATTATGTTATGAAGGATCAAAACTAGTTGTCACAACCTATGTTGATTCAGATTTTGCAAGTGATCTGAATAAAAAGAGATCTACTACTAGTTATGTGTTTACAGTTGCAGGAAGGGCAGTAAGTTGGTTATCCAAGTTACAAGATGTTATAACTCTGTCTACCACAGAAGCTAAGTACATGGCAGCCACCCAAGCATGTAAGGCAACTATTTGGATTATGACGATAATGGAGGAACTCGGGCACAAGTAACAACAAATTGTTGTGTAGTGTGATAGTTAGAGTGCATTGCACATAGCAAGGAACCCAGTTTTTCATTCTAGGACAAAGCATATAGGAATAAAATATCATTTTGTTTGGGAAGTAGTGGAAGAAGGTAATGTGGATAGGCAAAAGATTCAACAGATGAGAACGTAGCAGATGTTATGACAAAGTCGGTTAATGTTGATAAGTTTGTATGGAGTCGATCCTACTATGTCCTAGTGAAAAAATAAGCAACATGGATGATAAGAATAAAACAAACATGGTGTGGATATGTGATTAACTTTAATCAAAATCTTCAAGTGGGCGATTGTGAGAAGAGAAGCCCCACATCAACTAAATCTTACTTTGGTGCTTGCTTTTCTTACTATAAAAGGAGAATAGTGTTTACCTTGTAAAATACATCATCACTTTATTTTCTTTCTCTTGCTACTTTAGTACTTGAGAGATAAATTAAGAGAGAAAAATAGTTTCTCCTTTTAGGTTCTCTTAGAGTTGTTTTTCCTTTATTTTCATAAGAGAGTATTATTGTTTCTTCCTTGGAGGTAGAGAGAGAAGTGTTGTAATTTCTTTCATTAGTGGAATTACTCTTTTTCTTATTGTCGATATTTTTCTTGTCTTTTTATTTTAGTTATGTGTGCTTATACTTTTGTCTGATACCTAACATGATAAACTTATTTGTACCACTGTTTAACTCAACAAGACGTACTTGCTTGAAACTCTTGTCAAAAAGACTTTTGACACAAAGAACCACAATCAAAGATTTATCACCTACTTCATATCATACTCAACAAGTCAGTCACCTCATGAATCATCGACTCTGATACTATTAATGAGTATTTTCGAATATTCTAACAATAGGAAGATTTATCAACAAATGGGACTAAGTCAACCATATAAGAAAATATGACATAATCTTCAACCTAAAACCTTAAAATATTATATTATGGGTCTTTCTCATTTATAAGTTACTCAACTTTTTTATTTCTACTCAATGTGAGATTTCAACTCGCATTTGGATTTCCAACAAAAACCGACTACAATTATTGATGAGCTTCATTAATCATCAACGTCTTTAACTTCAAGTTGAGGGATTGTGTAGTGTAAATATATTGTTTATTAGTATATAATTGAATATGATGATTGAAGAACTTAGTGTATTCAACTTGAGGTTGAGAGATGATGTAATATCAAGATATTGGTTGATAACATATAATCGAGCACGATCTTTGATAAACCTCATTAAACCTCAATGTCTTTGTCTTAGGGTAGATGAGTTGTATAATATCATAATATTACGATTGATGTAGCAATTCAGTCTAGAATCGATACTAATGTCAAAGATATTTTAAATGAAATTTGATTGATAAGGACAAACGACCACAATCACAAATATTTTGTTAATAATTAAACACAATGAAATCCTCTAAAAACATAAAATATTAACACGTGAGTCTATAAATAAATCTTTATACTCATTGCTATAGTAATAAAGTCTCAAATCTTATTTGTGACTTTTTATTATAACAAGTATTAATGGTAATATAAGAAAGTTAACAAAATAAATCGATAATTAACATAATTAGATATATTTGATATAAGAAAGCTTTCCACACTAATTTTACATTAAGAAATTTTATTAACCAAACCTCCTTTTTAATGGTTTTTTTTAATTATGTTTAAAAAGAGTTACTCTTAAATAAAATAAGTTATTAAGATATATCTAATTAAATTTATATTTATTCTACAGTAGTTATGTTTATTTAAAATCATTAAGTTATAATTTGTTGATTTTTTTAAGAAATAATAAATTAAACCTAAATTGTTTTAATAGCTCCATCAATTAAGTTTATTTATCTGAAAGTGTAAAATTATTATTAAACATTTTACATAAATAAAATTAATATAAGAAAAATAAGTGGAGAATTCAAAAAAGAAAAGAGAAATCGATTATAATTAATAATTATCATCAAAGACTAAATCTAATCTCCGACAAAATCAGCATGTAATTAAAAAAAATAAAAAATAACTAACAAGTATCCACCGGAGAATAAAATATTATGAAAGTCTCTCACGCTTACGTAATTGTGAATCCTATAAAGTTCAGAATATTTAATCTAGTATAAAAAGTCCTTATTTTAAACTATTAGATGAACAACATTATGCTTAAGCCTAACAATATACAAAATAAAGTAACAAAATCTAGCTGGAGACGTACACGCACCAACGTGCAACCTTCGTCTTTAAGATAAATGCCTCCGGTGAGAATTGTACAGGCATACACATTTTACATTCTTTCGCATCGCGTTAAAAAATCTCGCTAAAATTAAAATAAAAAAAAAGTAGTTAATTGTGTTGCACTAAACTATAAAAAAGGTCCTCTATAAGATTTCTCTACTTCTCATTACAATAGTCAATATTTTTCTCTTGACTTAAAGGATAGTTTTGACATGCACGTTTATAGATTATTTTGCAACCATTCACGTCACTGATGTTGGACTTTGGAAATTAACAGTTTTACAGTTTGGGTCATACATCGAACACTCTTCACTACTTACTATATATAGTTTGCAAGCATATTTTGCGGTGGATTAGTGATCCTAAGCTTTAACTTTGGGTGATAAATTATGGTTATCATCAAAGTCAGTTTGCTAACTGAATAAAAGATTCGGTTTGATGACATGCATGATGAGTTGGTGATCATGAGCTTTGACTTTGGGTGATGGATTATGGCTATCATCAAGGCCAGTTTCCTAATTGAATAAATATAATTTCACAAATATCTTGTCAACGATATTACCTTTGGAATTTTCCCGACTTCAAAGTCGATCGTTTTCGGAAATTATAATAACTTGACCCTACAATAACTACAATTTTTAAGATCAATTTTTTAAAAATAACTACTGAATAGTTTAGCGCATCATTTAAATTATTATGAATTTTTTTTTAAATTACCAAAATTATATATATATATATATATATATATATATATATATATTATAAAACTTTGTGGGAGACTATTACTCCCTATTTTTGAACTTAGACATTCAATTTGAACTATTGCATAACTTGTAAAAAACTTTGATGTTAAGTTTGTTATTATTTTATTAAGTAATGTAGGTAGAGAAGAGAGTTCAACTTATTAATAATTATAATTTGTCCATAAGTTTTGTAAAAAGTTAATGAATAGTATTTGACAATTCAATAAATTATAATTCAATGCATGAGGACCAATGAAGTTATTTTGCTACAAAACGTGATAGTTTAAATCTTTTAAAATAACAAAAACAAATTATAAGAAATATTGTTAAAAAGATAATAAATGATAATAGAATATTTTAACTAAAAAATTGTAATAATCTTCATGACGAGAACTATAAAAAAAATTGTCAAATTAAATTTTACAATAAGAACTTTGAAAAGGAGAATAAATTATTTTCTCAAAAAAATATGCACTTAAATATTATTATTTCTAAAGTCAAATTCCAGTAAATAGAAATAATTTATTACGTGATACATATAATACTAATGAAATCGTGGAAAGTTGGAGGGACAAGACCCCCAAAATATTAAGATAGAACTGTGATCCCGAGTTATTGTTGGCAGTTGTTTTTGTAAGGCGTTTGTTTGTATTTTATTTTTAACCTTGTTGTGTTCCCCCTCTAACAGATAGGATAAGAAAAGGAAATTTTGATTGATTGGGCGTAAATCAGGGATAGTTTTCTACATATAGTTTTGGACATTGGGTTGAATAACAGTTTTTTTAGTTAATAGGATAGAATGGTTATTAATTATTGTTATGGAAAAGAAGGAGAAGAGAGATGCAGAGTAATTTTGAAATAAATTTGGGGAATGATATGAAAGTTGCATCCGTTGGCTGAGAAGAAGAGAAATGCGGCATGCAAATCATAAAGTATCGGCTAGAAAGGTAGGAGGAGGAGGAGGAAATGGAATAGTGGCAGTGGCTGTAGACAAGGATAAAGGAAGCCAATACGCTCTTAAATGGGCTGTTGATTCTCTGCTCGCCAGAGGTCAAACTGTTTTTCTCATCCACGTCTTGCACGGGACATCCTCACCTGTTCCCAGTAAGCCCTCCTCCTCCTATTCCTATTCTCAAATGATATCTAAGATTCTTAAAGAAACTATGTTACTGCATGCCATAAAACACTTTTATTATTTTTTCAATTGCAGCAGGGGGTAGCGAGGCCATCATATGTAACATCACCGATTCATCTTCATCTCTGCAGAGATTCCAACTTGATAACACTACCAAGGATTTGTTTCTCACTTGCCATTGCTATTGTACACGCAAAGATGTAGGTGTCAAGCTTTATTTCCCCCTCATCCTTTCACTCAAATTAGTAGATTCTTTTTTCCCCCACACTATTTACTGCTGTTGAATATATTTGATTAGATACAATGCCTTGATATCCTACTCGAAGACAATGATGTTGTGAAAGCAATAACAGAATATGTCTCTTATGCTGCAATTGAGAACTTGGTGGTTGGTTCAACATCCAGGCATGGGTTTATTCGGTAGGATTCCGTATCTCCTAGTTAGCCTGAAATTAAGATTGCATTAACTATTTTTAAAAGCATAATAATTTGATATTAGCTGACATGCAAAACGACAGCATGCAAGCAGTTTCACATTTCTTAAATTAGTCTTTCCCTGTGCAGATTTAAGTCATCATCAACTGCATCAAGTAGCATATCAAAGGGGGTGCCGGACTTTTGTACCGTGTTTATCATTTCAAAGGGAAAAATCTCCTCAGTTCGGAATGCTACTCGTCCAGCCGCACATACATCCCCACTTCTGAGCCATATACGTAATCTAAACAAGGACGAAAATCAACCTGAAGTACCCTTCAGAAATAAGAATACAGGAGGTTTGTTTCTGTTATATATATATATCAAACAGTTTGTTCGGCATCTACCAATGCTTTCTTGCACTGCAGTTTTAATCATATCTATATGTGCTGCAGAAAGGACGTCAATCAAACCTCAGAACTGGCTTGATGAATCTATTACGTAAGTCTTTAGTCAAACTATTCAAAGTCCTAGCCCATAATAACGTAACTTGGTTTCCTTTGTTCGGTTGGCTTGAATCAGGTCTCCATTTCCAAGGGGAAGACCGAGTAGAATATCATTGGACTTCCCAGAATCAGATACGGAAATATCATTTGTAAGCTCCGAGAGGCCTAGCACTGCTCGTTCATCCTCCGTTTATGACTATATTGAGGCAGGCCGAACTTCTCGAGTTTCTACTAGTTCAGATCATAGCTATGGATCGACCCGATTAGGACTCAAATTCAATGACCCCAATTCACCCGATACGTCATTCTCACATGAAAGCAATGGAACATCATTCACGTATTCATCACAGAGCTTGGTGAGTGATTTAGTGAGCACATGTATTTTTCATTTATTCTTCATACATCACTTCAATTGATTGATCATATGCCAATAGTATCTTACTAAAGCAAGCTTTATCATTCAATTTCAAAAAAATAAATAAAATTGTTTAATCATGTTTGTGAGTTCAACGATACGTGACCATTGAAGGTATCAACTTCCCTTTGCTAAAATAATTTAGGATGAAGCAGCAGAAGCTGATATGAGGAGGCTGAAACTTGAGTTAAAGCAAACGATGGAAATGTACAGTACAGCATGCAGAGAAGCACTAACAGCTCAGCAGAAGGTAGACTCTGAAAATTATACAGTCCCTTTTTCCATAAATTTGTTACTGGGATTTCAACTGGGGTAAATCTTTGGGTTGTACAGTTAATGGAGTTGACCCACTGGAGAATTGAGGAAGAAAAAAAATTAGAAGAGGCACGATTGTCTGAGGAAGCTGCGCTAGCAATTGCAGAGAAAGAGAAAGCAAGATGTAGAGCAGCCATGGAAACTGCTGAAGCATCTAAGAAAATTGCCGCGGTTGAATCACATAGAAGAGCGAGTGCTGAAGTTAAAGCTCTCAAAGAAGCAGAGGAAATGAGGAAGCTTTTGGACAATCTAGCGCAAACTGATGTAAGATATAGGAGATACGGTATCGAGGAGATTGAAGTAGCCACTAACTTCTTTTCTGAATCCCAGAAAATCGGGGAAGGAGGTTATGGCCCTGTTTATAAATGTATCCTTGATCACACTCCAGTTGCTGTTAAGGTTCTACGTCCAGATGCTGCTCAAGGGAGGACACAGTTTCAGCAAGAGGTGATCAACCAGTGGACATGAGTAATTCTACACCACTTTTTTGTATTTGACTGCATCACTGTTTACATCGCGACTAGTTTAGTTAAGCTTGGCGTTTTATGGGCACGAATGAGACCTTGAAAATCTGATGAAATCACAACATAGCATCTCTACTTTTCCAACATCATTTTTTTCTATCACAAACTTCTCGTTACATCTCTCTCTTCTTTTCCTTTTTCTCTTCATCTCTTTATTCAATCCATCTCTTGAAACCAAAATTGTGATGGACACTACATGATCATTTCCCAATGAAATCTAGCTAATTTCAAAGACAGATAGACACAGGTATAGAGAGTAGAGAGAGAAGGGCCATTTTAGATCTCAAGGGTAAACCTAAAAGCATGCATAATTTAAAGCCTCGTGTCTATTTTTCTTGTAGTTTCGGATTCATAGTGCCTGGAAATGAATTGTATGATATGAAATAGGCAATAATACTAGCCACATATGTTGTGGGAGTAATATTTGTAATAAATCTTAAATAAAAGTGTGTATGCAGATTGACATACTGAGCTGCATGCGACATCCAAACATGGTGCTTCTTCTAGGAGCGTGTCCAGAGTATGGCATACTGATTTATGAACATATGGCTAATGGAAGCTTAGAAGAATGCCTGTTTCACAAAAGGAAGAAGAATGTTCTGTCCTGGCAGCTGAGGTTCCGAATTGCTGCAGAGATAGCAACGGGCCTATTATTCCTTCATCAGACCAAGCCTGAACCTTTAGTACACCGTGATCTGAAACCAGCCAACATTTTGCTAGACCAGAATTATGTGAGTAAAATAGGCGATGTTGGATTGGCAAAGCTTCTCCCAGCAGTAGCTGAAAACGTAACACAATGCTGCATGACATCAGCAGCTGGAACATTTTGTTATATTGATCCTGAGTATCAGCAAACAGGAATGCTTGGCGTGAAGTCGGATGTTTATTCTCTGGGAATCATTTTTCTTCAATTATTGACAGGAAGGCCTCCAATGGGATTGGCTCACCGCGCCGGAGAGGCTTTAGAGAAGAACAGGTTTGAGGAAATGCTGGACCCATCTGTCACCGATTGGCCTCTTCAACAAGTCTTGTGCCTTGCGAAGATATCAATCAAGTGTGCGGAACTCAGGCGAAAAGACAGGCCAGACCTTGCCAAAGTAGTGTTGCCAGTGCTCGATAAACTGAGAGACTTTGCCGAAGAAAAATTGCCCATCATTTTGAGATGCACTGCACCTTCACCCAGTTACAGTGAAACTTTCCTGCAACAGGTTCGTACGTTAATTTCCAGCTTTTAAATAACCTAATATACATAAAAATTTATTATATATCATTATATCATGATATTTACTGCATACATACTATACCAGCCTTCCAATTCCATGACCTTGTTGAGGTCATGTTGCAGGATATGATGAGTGACCCGCGGCTTGTACATTCCGTAGGCTCATCAGCTCCGTCAACGCCCACAGACTGAAGACCTTATATTATGTATATATATATACGTACATACGCACACACATTCACGTATATGTAGATATGATATATAAATATATAGACGAGACGGCTTTATTCTGCAGTAATGTCAAATTTGTGTTTCGGATATATATACATGCATGCAGGGGCCCAAACCCTGGCAAAGAAAAAAATATAAACAAGAAGTTTTTTCCAGTACCAGTTGACAATGTACACATTCAACAAGGACACGCTTTTGTTCTAGGATGTCTGGGTGCAAACATAGGTAGAGCAAGTGCATTATGTAAATATCTTAGAAAGTAAATCCTGCAATTTCAATACTCGGACGAAAAGTACGCCAATTTTTTTCTGCGATCGTCAAATTTTTTCTTTCCTTTCTGAATGCAGCATCATGCCTTCTCATTGCTGTGTATGAACATACACGTAGACTCCGGTATGGTTTGCAATGCAAATCAAAGTTAGACAGCACAAAAGGAATCATCTTTTTATCCATCCATTCCTCTTTCTATTTCTCTTATTTTTGAAAAAAATAATTTACTCCCGTAATTCGAGTGTATCTTGCCCTCGATATATCTCCATAAATCACGCCTGTGGCTAATAATTAACATCAATAAGATAAAAACCGATCTCATAAAACCGGCCCAAAAGGTCCAAAGAAAATAAATAAAATTAGGTTTTGATCGGAGAATGATCATCTCACTTTTTTACCACAAGCGCGCCTATGGAAAATTGAAACAAAAAAAGTTTCTTTTTCCCACTTCAACACAATGGTCCCGTGCACTACTCAGGCAAATTCCCAAACTTGTGGGAGATGATCATGTCACGATTCAACGCGGGATGACCATGATGGAATAATTGCAAAAACAACATAAGGAGGAAGTTTAGTTCCCAGACACGGTCGAGCTGGTGGTAAAATTGTTTCGTTCTAAGGAACGATTTGAGATCTGATTTTTTCTTTTTGTTGATATCCGGTTCCAGTATGATAGTGTTAAACGTGGAAGGATACGTGATCAGGACGGATCTCCACTGTCCAGGAGCTTGTCATAATAATAATAATAATAATAATATTATAATAGAAGTCTAGCTAACTTGATGGTGATCCATCTTTCCGTTATGAACATTGGTAAGCCAGTAAACCACAGTAATGTCATACATAATCATATGATGACCTTATCAGGTCAAATCTCGACAAAATCTTATAAGTACATTTGTTCTAGAACGACTTTATCAGGCCAAATTTTGATAAAACAGATATAACCCTATACGGACATCTTCTTCTACAACATTCATGACCTTATTAGGTCGAATTTCTACAACGGTCGCGACACTAAACGGGTATATTGTTATACAACGGTCGCAATCTTATCAAATCGGATTTTAACAAAATAGAAATAACCCTATATGAGCGTGTTGTTCTACAACGGTCACGAAAACAAATGTGACCCTATATAGATGTGTTGTTCTATAATGGTAGTAACTTTATAAGATTGAATTTTGACAAAACGGATGTGACCTTATGTGGGCACGCTGTGGTACAATCTTAGCAGGTCTGATTTCGACAAAACGAACATGATCCTATAAGGTCGTGCTATTTTATAACGCTCGTGACCCTACGAGGTCAAGAGATTCTATAATGTTTATAATCCTATGAAGTCGTATTACTCTACAATGGTCGTGATCCTATAAGGTTAGGAGATTCTACAATGGTCGTAATCCTATGAGGTTGGAAAATTCTATAATGGATGCGACCCTATGAGATAGGTCTACAGTGTAACCTTATGAGATCGGTCTATGAAAGCGATTTATGAATTTAAACCTTATGATATCAGCTTACATATTGATCCAATGAGATCGGAATGTGTGAGGTCAAAAGGTGACGCTTAAGATTACGAATCTAAAATCAACCTATATGTCAACCAATTTACTTGCATTTTTGAAATCAGGACATGTAGACACAACTTTCGCAAAGCTTTGATATTTAATGTTTGAGGTTAGAGGTTGTGTAGTGTCAAAACACTACAAGAAAAATCGCTTTTAGCGACCGAAAAAATCGATCGCTAATGGCCAAAATTCGGTCGCTATTCTGTTAGCGACCGAAATTAGCGACCGAAATGGTTGGTCGCAAAAGGGCAAGTCGCTAAGTTGTTAGCGACCGATTTACATTTTGGTCGCTAAATAGCGACCGATCTGGTGGTCGCTAAAGTGGTCGCTAAATAATTTGGTCACTTATTCATTGGAGACCAAAATAGCGACCGAATTAAGTGGTCGCTAAATCGGTCGCTAAATCCGTGGTACAGTTTTAAAAAATAGCGACCGATATATTCGGTCGCTAATATATTAATATAATTATTTAAATAATAATTTAAATCGGTCAGCTAAATTTGAATTGTATATTATAATAAATTTATAGCGACCAAAAATTCGATCGCTAATCTAACCAAATATGAAAATTTTCGTTTAAAATTTTGTATATCCAATTTTACAAAATTTGTACCGCTTAATTCATCCAAACATAACACAAATAAAAACTTAAGAACTAAAGTCAAATTATTCAAATCATAAAATTTGTACCTGCTTAATTCATCCAAACATAACATAAATGAAAACTTAAGAATTTTTGTTTAAAATTTTGTATATCCAATTTTACAAAATTTGTACCTGCTTAATTCATCCAAACATAACACAAATGAAACTTAAGAACTTAACAACTACTCAAGATTCAAAGTCTTAATATCATAAAATTGAAAATTAGTCATCTGGTATATTGTCAGTGTCATGTTAACTTGTAGTAGGATGACTATTCATTTGAATATGTTGTAAAATAAGCTTCATTTGCTCATCTTGTTGGCGTTGGTTGTTCCTCAACTCCTGCATCTCTTCTTCAAGTATGTTCTCCTTATTATGCTTTGCCACCAATTCAGCATTTAACTTTTCAATAGTCTCATGCATTTGTTCAATTTGATGAAGTACTGGAGTTTGAGTAATAGAAGATTGAGAACCTGATGTACTAGTGAACTTTTTGCTCAATGTACCAAGTCCATACACATTTCCTTTTTTATTTTCACCTCCAACAACTGAAATGTATATTTGATTATCATCAACAGAGACAATAGGAGACTCTTGTGAAGATGAGCCTTCACGCAAGTTATGTTGATGGACTTCTTCTCTACGTTGCATATATTGTTCCTAAAAATGAAGTGAAATATAATTATTATGAAGAAAACATATATTGAATAATAAACTATAACTTAGATGTTAAACATACAGCAAGATAACGAGTTTTTTCATTGACCCATTCTCTAGTCTTTAATTTCTTTGTCCTCTCAACAACCTCCCAAACGGTTGGTTCCCGTTGAAACTCCGTAGTCTACACATTAAAATGAGACAAAATTCATTACCTAAAGTGTAATATATTGTATTAAATTACTTATATAAAAATATAATAAACTTACCATCTTCTCAAAGTGAGTTGCAGTAGATATGGAACCCCCATAGTAAGCAGAGGCACCCTTATCAACAGCTCGATTAGCCTTGGCAATGGCACTCTTGTCTTGGAAATCTGGAGAACTCCAATGTAAGTCCAAAGATGCTCGAACAGCTGGCGGTATCCAGATTCCCGTATCCTTACCATTCCTAACTTTGTTCATTGAGTTTTTTAAAATTCGAGAACCTTTCTTATCAAAAACAGATCTTATGGCTTGCTCTTGTTCCACATCCCATATATACTCTTTCTGCATAAATAAAATACACAACAAACATTTAATTTATAAGAATGAAATGACATTGTTTAATGTAACTATAATTCAAATTACCTTGAACTCTCCAAACCATCTATCTCGAAGCTCAAGTGAAACCTTTCTCCAAGTGGGACTTGGTTCATCAAATTTTTGTTTGATGATTCTAGAGATTATAGCAGGAGGACCATTTGTTGGTATAAACCTGTGTTGAAACATATTGTGGGATTGATATTATTAAGAAATTTCATATTAAAGAATTATAATTAAATTAAAACATACTTACTCTCCTTTGTCTCGCTTGTAACCATGGCCTTTGATCAACCATATTTCCATACTCAACCTCGGTTGCGACTCGACCAGTGCACTGTGTAGGTTGACCAAATGTCGCCTCAGCAGAGAAGGTAGTAGGAATTGTTTCTCCTACTATAGCTATAGGAGATTCCTGCCGAGTTGAGGGAGGTGTGCGTTCTACAAACATAGGATTAGTAGACTCCATGGATCTTGGTCGAACGGAACTAGGAGAGTTAGGGCTAGGTGAACCTCTATCATCAACCAGTACACCTCGACCACCACGATGAGGTGGTCTACGACCACCACTTCTACCCCTTTGTGGCATCTACAAGCGGATCTTATTACATATGTAACATGCATAAAATTAAACAATTGAAACAATGAATTACTTGATTGTGTTTTCTACACCCAAACGTGTCAGTTAACTTACCACTCATTCACTTGCAAATAATTAAATCATAATCATATCAATATATATATGTATATATATGCAATATTAAATAAAGGTGTACAATCAAATTTAACAATTGTAAAAATAATTTTAATGCATGAATTACCAAGTATCTCGTATCATCAAAATCACTCTCAGTCTCATCCTCACTTGAAATATATTCATCCTCATCTTCATCTATATTTCTTTCATTTAGTAATTGTATATCTATTTCTTCTCCCCCACCATTAACATCAGCAAGGGAATCATCAATGAAGTTAGGATCAATACGAAGCACTACTTCAAGTCCTACAAGCTCATCATCTTGGTATGGAGTCTCATGCTCAACTTGATCGACTATATTATCAATGATTCTACTACGAGATTTTGTCTTTATTACACCCAACCAACCTCGGTGTCCCTCCGGATAACTTGTGTAATAAACTTGTTCCGCTTGTTGTGCAAATATGAAAGGATCATATGCTTTATTATATCTTCGTGATTGCTTTACTTCCACGATTCCATACTTATTATCTACTTTGG